AGATTGAATAAATCTCACATTACTTAGTTAACTTCAGGCTTACCAGAGAGTGACTAATTCTACCCATGTGTCTAGTCATTCTCAATTAAACATACAAGAAGTAATTACTTTGAGAGTTCACGTGACTGCTAGTAGAAAAGGTAACTGTCTAATTTCACATGTTACAGGTAATCTTGCAGCTATCTTTACCTTAGAAAGTCAAAAGGTGCTATTCTCTGTGAATGGTACAGAACAGTTGGTAGCTGGAATCATAGTAACTTAATGAACTTCTTGATCAACGTATTATGTTGAAACTGCGTCAACTTGCACAAATAACACATTAAAAAAAATTATATATTACTATATAGAGGTAGGGAACGTGTGCTTATATGCCACACACTTGCCTTTAAGTTGCACTTCAGTTTATTTGTTTCAGTTAGAATATTTGATCTGTTTATTCTTCAAAAACTGCTATTTTTGAAGAATAAAGAAACCAAATATTACAAAATATTTAATCTTTTTTTATCATTCACAGATTAGTCAAGCCTATCATGAAAGTATAAAATAATTGCTGCTTGTACCATTGTTGGTACATTTACACATACACTTCAATGAAGCTAAAGAAGTTGAGTATTAGTGGCAGTATGTGCCTTAACAAATAACTATTCTTCATATTTGCGAGTCAGGTAGCTTTGTATCTCTGGACATATACTCATTATTTACTTCATCTTTCTGTACTTAAAGAATTAACCTTTTGTATGAAAACTTACTGACTTGTACAATATAGACTGTTGTGCTTCATTATAATACAAAAAAGGCATAAGATACAAGTATGATATCCATAGCGTTACATGATCTCAATCGTATGTACTTTGTTAGCATAAAACAAGTGGTGAGAGTCAAATTTAAATGGTTGTGATAGCCTTGGATGATACAGGGATTTTTGAATCACATAATATGACTGTAACAGATGCAATGTTAAAATTTAATGATGATGTGTTAAATATTCTTCATAAGCCTTTATGTTTTGACATGCCCACATTGTATAGCTTCATTATCTATCATTATTCTGGGTTTGAGATTTACCTAAAAGTAGTTTAAATATGCAGCCTGATTTCAGGATTTTTTCACATCCTGTGATAACTGGTAAATAAATCAGAGAACAAAGTTTCTAGTCTCTTAATCGAACAATAAATGATATGGCTGCGAAAGGTTGACCGATCACTCCTGAAACACACATTGCCTTTTGACATCCTTATTACCTCATCATATCTTTCATTTAGTTTATTTTATCTGACTTGCATGCTATATAGATTTTTTATATCTTGTTGGAAACAACTTATCATTATGGTTGTATACAACTGCAATACAGAGAATTTGGATACTGATAAAACACTCAAATAACCTTTATCTTGGGCTACAGAATTTCAAGATCTTTCAGAGAATAATCAGATTTTTGTGTCTACATGTACTTTGTTGTGCTAACAACAGTTCATAGACTGCATGCATCATCAGTATTTTTAACCATCATAAGACCCTTTAAAAAAGAGTGGTTGTTTCATGTCCCCATGCACATTTATTTTCCAGTCCATTTACCATCAAATAAAGTTGTTCCTTGTTTATCAGATTCAAGTTAGTTGCATTCATTTTTTGTTCTTGATGTTTTGACAGTGTAGTTTATTGAAATTACATGGTTAAATAAAATGTTTTACATAGAGCTTTTGAAAAAGAGGAAATAAAAATAAAATCAGTGCACAGCTAATTTTTTTATGGAGACTAATATACTGGAAACTCATGAATGTTATAGCTTTGCTGGTAGTCATAATGTCCCATCCCTTTGACTTCCTTTCACTTACTTTTCATTGTAAAGCTAACTTCTACCGACTATAATTATATGAGTACAGGTGGACTTCTAAGGAAGATTAATCACAATTTCACACTTTACAACCTAAGAATGATTTGCATCTTCTAATGCAGTATGTCACTTGGTGAGTCATCAATAAGTTCACAGACTTACACAGCTGAAATCTAGGGTTCACTTCCAAAAGGTGGACAGAGCAAAAATAGCACACTGTGTAGCTTTGCACTAAACAAAAAAGTTAAATGTAGTTAAATATTGTCACAGATGAGAGCTGTGACCTTATGTGTGATATGCATAGCACCTGTGGATTTAGTTCATATGCATTCCTGACCATTCAACTGTTCAATGCTATTATGGTTAGACTTATAGTTGAAGAGATATATTTTAGTACAAAAGTAACAAATATTTATACAGTGACCTGGTTAAACAGTGTAGAACCAAGGCATAGCACCTGTGGATTTAGTTCATATGCATTCCTGACCATTCAACTGTTCAATGCTATTATGGTTAGACTTATAGTTGAAGAGATATATTTTAGTACAAAAGTAACAAATATTTATACAGTGACCTGGTTAAACAGTGTAGAACCAAGGTTAATATGGAAGCAGAAGAAATTCCAAAACATACATACTTCCACTGACACTAATAGCTATTTCTCAGTCTTTATCTTTGCCATATAATGTTGTGTTTGCTTGCTCCAGTTTTTATATACCCCACTCGACTGCCCTCAGCAATATCTAATTTGCAAAACTTTATGCCGGCCCTCAGATGCTCTCCATGCAGGTACTATATATAAGCACTGTATGCAGACAATAAAATCACTTTTTCTCTACAAAGCTCGAGCATTCAGACTAACGTTTTATGATTTACATTTTCGCTTTCTAATAATCGGGAATTCTTTGTTTTGTTATCCAGAGATATGTTGCTTTGAATTTCTTTTTTGTTTTTTCCTACAAAAAAAAATTGGATATGAATTCCCGTGTAATGGTTTCAAATAGTTATTGTTCTTTTCTCTTCTAGGGTCCTTATTGATTTCGTTTGGATCCCACTCAGTGGCAAGTGTTGCCCTGTAGGGTATGCTTGTATTTAAATTCTGCACTAGCAACTTTTATATCGGTTCCTGGTTGCAATGGGCTCTGTCGAGATGAGGTGTACCATAAGACCATCTGGATGCAATTCTGGATGGTGATATCATATTACAATATTTCTAATGGACTATCATGAGTAAAACTAAAGGGGATTTTGCCAGTCCCTGCTGATCTTAGAGCTGAATCAGTCTAGATCAGTTTGCTTTTAAAAATTAGGGAATGTGGTTCACCTGTTTCACTGTCTGGAGACCTGTTTCTCATGACTCCCCAACGTTTATGTTCCCCCCCTTACTTCTACTAGTGTAGCTCGGAAGTCCTTACCACACTCAGTTCCCTGTCGCTGGGGTGGTGGACAGAGGATTTTCCTTCAGTGTTGAGTTTAAGTTTACTCCACTCTCGGAGAAGAGGACAAAGTTTTCCCACATGTTGGTAGGAGCAGGACCAACCTCCATGGGAGCCTACTCGTAACACCAGTCCAGATTTAATGCTTAGCTATCCAGTGGGAGGGATGGTGGTGCTTGGACTCTAAGTCTTATGAACACTGTCAGGTCTTATGTTGTACATGCAGGGAGTCCATTATCTCCTCGTCAATCCGAACGCAATGCGGTCCCATCTTTAGTCTTTGGTGTTCCACATCCTCTCCATAATTCCATAGGTAAGTGGAACTCTCCTTCCCCACAGAGTGGGGGAGTAAAGACAACTGTTTGTAAATCCAGACTGGATGAGTTCTGGACTTTGGTGAAGTATGGCGTATAATCCCATCAATCCAGTCCTGGGATGTTTCCTTTTGGACTCTTCAGGTTGATCAGAAGGATTTTTCACTTTGGTGCTGCTTTCTTTCTTTCATAAATCCGGTTGTTCGAAATGTATCATTCTGTGGTTACTGGTAGGGATCCTATCACAAAGATATATATATCTGTGGTCCAACTGCCCTGGCCACCTACATGGGATATGGGTACCATGACCCCTTAAATCTAACCCGAGTTGTGGAACCTCGGCTGTTTGGTCGGGGCTGGACCATCATACTTGTATTATATTCTACCCTTTTCAATTTTCTGTAGTTCGGGATGAACTACCTGTTATGGATATTGTGCGGTGTTCCTCACTTTGATACCACTTCTCGAGGTACGTATTTGTTCTCTGCAGACGTTTTCTGTATGATCTCTGTCCTCACCGCCCCCTCCGCCTTCTCAATTGGGGATTCTAGCTATTAGTGTCATCGGAGGTAGGTATGTTTTGGAAGTTATCAGTTTCCTAAACTGAAAATGTATTTCCAAACATACTTACCTCAGCTGACACTCTCCCTTCCTTCCTCCCCACTAGGAGCTGGTGTTAAGTGACCAGAAGGAGGTAAGTCTTGAAAAAGTGAATTTATTGTCTGCATACAGTGCTTATATACAGTACCTGCATAGAGGGCATGTGAGGGATGGCATAAAGTTTTGCAAATTAGATATTGCCGAGGGCAGTCGAGTGGGGTATATAAAGACTGGAGTAAGTAACACAATGTTAGGTGGCAAAGATGAAGATGGAAAAATAGCTATTAGTGTCAGCAGAGATAGATATGTTTGAAAATGCATTTTCAGTTTAGGAAAATGATAACTTTTGGATGGTAATGGACTCTTAAAGACTTTATTCCAATCCAATCAAGAAGAACACCATCATTCACAAAGTGAAAGCTGTGATTACAAAAGTCCCGAAACACACAAAAAAAACATTGTGATAAACTTAGACATATCTCTAGGTACCGTTAACAAAATGATAAAAAAGGATAAAGAAGCTGAAAAGGGTCACAAGACTCCAATTACATCTCAAAATTGACACCTATTTTCATGAATAGGTGAAAAACTAAGACCACAGATATTTCATTTTACTAGGTACCTCTCAATCATTCTGATGCTCTTCTAGTCTTCTTTTTTACCTTTTGTCTTCTTAAACATGGTCTTGGAAACCAACGCCCATGAATATTGAAAGGTTAAACCCTCAAGAATACCTACATTACTAGAGTAATTATCTTGCACAAAAGAGATTTTGTTGTGTTATAAATTAACATCATTTATTTTTTGTTTTTTCAGAAATACATGGACAGAAGAAAAAAATACTAGCTTTTCAATACTTTGAAGAATAAATCAAATCAATGGTTAGTGTACATATTGTGACAGTGAAAATCTCTAAACTGTATTCTAAATTGACAGAGAAACTTGTATATTCCCTGCTTTGGACATTTAGTAGAGGTCATTGTATGTGGTTACTTGAAGCTTTATAATGCCTGCACCTACAGGACGTATGTACTCCAACAGTCAAGGAAATCATAATGCTCACCTATCAAATGAAGCATGTGGAATTAGAGAAGTATGGAACTATAATCTGGAGGATGAATTCAAAACTATCCGCAGGGTGGTTCAGAAGTATAGCTTTGTGGCTATGGTAAGTGTGTCATACATATTCGTAAGTATACTAAATAATTACAAACCATTTCTGTTATAAACATAATGGCCTTTTACACATGTAATTTTGATCATGAACATGTAGTTCTAATACAGTACATTACCTCCTTTCACATAAATAGCTATTCTTGTTCAGTGCTGCCCTCTATGTGCAAAAATTTTGTTCGCATGCTACAAGCCTTGAGCTCCCACGTACCTTCCAATCAACTGATTCAAATGTGTCGTGCATGTAAATCAACATGCGACAACCCTCAACCAATAAAAGAAAAAGAGTGGGACATTTTCTTGATGCATGGAACTCCCTCTGTTCGATTCTACTGAACTATCACTTCTCATTTGGCAGTATTCGTGTCAAGATATTTTTGTTATGCTCTTCGAATTTGTTCAACTTGTAATTCTTTTATTCTTGTTCTTTGTGGGTTTTTTCTTTGTTTTTCAACAGTTAATGACTTTTGACTTTCTTTTTTTTTCCATCAAACAGTTGTGTTGGATTTTCATTTACATTTTCTACTTACCACTTCAGAGATCGTACCTTCTACTATCACATTCACACAGGTTACATGTGGGGGTGACTCATCTTTGGATTTATCAGCTATCATCCGCCATGAAATTGATCATTATGTGAATCAACCTGCTCTTTCTGATCTTGCCCCTATTCCTCCCGATGATGTCAAACCTATTTGGGTCAGTAAGGATTTTGACAGCCTTTTTCCTAAACCTGATTTTGCCATGTCTTCCTATGCCCCTTCTGTGGAATCAGCTAGGCCTAATATGGCTTTTTTAAGCACAATTTCTCAGGTATGTTGTATTTTATCCATTTAACCGACTACTTATGACCCCGTCCTTCTTTGTTACATTATACCTCCTCCTATCAGTACTTGGGTTCCCCCCCTCTTCTTCGAATATTAGGGTTCATATTAAGCATTTTGTTTCTCAGATGGTTGAGGGTACCAGCATGCGCCATTCTCCACGGGCTTCAGATCAGTTTGCCTTGGCCTACCCTCAGGCTCAATGTCTGTTTCTCGATTATCATCAGTTAGAATCGATTTTGCCCATGTTCATTTAACCCAGGCTCAATTTTTCCAACTTCATCTTACCCTCCCTACTCTCTTACGGTACTTGTCTACTATCCACCTCCTTTCCAAGGTGACCCACAGATATCCTGAGGGATTACCTCCTTGTTGGCACATTTGTCTTCTTCAGCTCTATTCATACAAATGTGGTTTTTCTGTTGTTGGGATCTCCTGGGAAAGGATGCACCTTTGTCCCAGGTTCGCTTACTGCCTACTTATCTCCGGGACTTGTGTATGGCCATTTTCTTCAGCAGTACGTTTACAGTAATTCAAATTCGATGACGAGGAACCCACTTTGAGACTAATAATGGCTGGAGACGGCTTGAATGGGTAATGAAGAAAAACTTTAATACAACAGCAAATGTACAACGTTTCGACAAGGTTTTGTCATCATCAGGTACCGACAAAACCTTGTCGAAACGTTGTACATTTGCTGTTGTATTAAAGTTTTTCTTCATTACCCATTCAAGCCGTCTCCAGCCATGATATAACAGTAGTTTTTAACTACGTTTTGAGTGCAGTTTGTCAGAATTATACACAAGAAAATTTGCATAGATTTCATTGCTTGATTTTGTCGCTCAGTTAACTTGATTCAG